ATAACAAATAAGTGACACCCGGCAACAAATTGCCAAATTGATGGTCACCTGGCGACCTGCGCGCGGCCTGGCACCATGTGCGCAACCTAGCGGCCTGATGCGGCCTGCGCTGACCTAGCGTGGCTTGGCGGTTTCACATGCGCCAACCTGGCAACCAATGAGACATGCTCGCCGACAAACTCGGCATGCGTACCCTACGATCCTTGGAGGTCAGCCTACGTTCTGGAAGATGGTCAATGTGCATGGTGGTTACCTCCAAGGATCTTGCATCAGTTAGACATGACCTCCCGGAGATTTTGGAGGCGTTACATGAGCAAGGCTTATATGAAGGCATCAACCCCTATGACTCAAGGGGGGCAAATAAGCATATTCTACCTCTCATACTTTGTGATTTTTATCTTGCAATCTACTATGAAAGTACTGACTTAAGCATCAGAGCGACCTCGCCGGGTTAGTCACCCCGGGTCCTCTGACATTGATTCCTTGTAGGTCTCTAAAGAACGACGAAGCTCAATAATCATTGTGAGATAAGTATTCACTTTCAGAAACAAAGGAGGGTTTATCTTTGGAAATTATTTCCCTGAAAAGTATTTGCAACGAACAATACCACATTAGTGCTATTGATCAATTGGAAAAATGTTGATTGCTAGTAATCTAAACTCTACAGTGTCATTTTATTAATTATTTTGTAATTTTAATTGAATTTGTTAGATCATTTAAAATCGATCACGATATCTGCAAAATATTTTGTAAAGTTTCAGCCAGATATTACAACCAGGAGTAAAAATATGTTGACATCATGGTCTCCTGTGGCAACTCGTGGAACAGCTGGGCGATCTGTTGACTACAATATAATGTCCAGGACGAAATGGTATTCAATCAGTCCAAAGTACATTCAAACAACTATGATAGTCTTGCATTGGGAATATCTCGTCATGAAATAAAATATAAAAGTATGAAGATGTTCCCGATGCAAGGCTGTAAAGACTGTTCGAATAGTGTTTGAACCGGCCTTGCAGTGACTCGTCCTAGACCCCCATGGCTTGCCCACATGTCTCAGCCATTGCTGCTATCATCAAATCTGTCCATCCTTCATGGAGTCCAGTAGCAATACAATCAGCAATCATGACATCAGGTAATAAACCTTTTCTTATATATCAAAAGATTTTAAATCCCAATTAAGATTAATTCGTTTAAGCCTTGATGGAGGAAGATTTGATCCGACCCCTTGGCCATACGACACGTGGAAGCAACCAAGAGTGACCTGGCAGAAGCGCCAACTCGGTACGACAGCGGGCCCCCAACCCGAGTTCCGAGCAAAAAGTCCCGAGCTCCCCCAAAGGGGGAACCTACAACCCGAGCTCCGAGCTGAAGAGTCCCGAGCTCCCCAAGGAGGAACCCGAGCTCTCCCTTCGAGGTCCTGAG